ACTATGCCTTTGCAATCTCCCATTCAACAAGCAAATGATATACAACAAGGAGACGATTGCAATAAAGATTTCACTGGTATTATATGTTACAATATAATTGTAGGGAAAAAATAACAACTTTCATATAAGTTTCATCTTCCCAAAAGAACTAATACAATCAACATACAATGTTGTTCTTTTGTTTTAGGTGAACCGGCCGACTACATCAATGTAGGTGATTCAGACAATGACTCCAGGCCTGGAAAAAGGGCAGTAACACTTGATGATTTTGAGCTTCCAGATTACTTCTCACAGATTGTTAAGTTCGGAGAGGTAAATTAAGATGAAACAACCCCTGTGCATCAGGGAAGAACAAGGGTTCCTGAAAAGCATGCCAGATCCCACTTTCTCCCTTATTTCAGTTCTGGGGGAATCACTTCTGTTGGACCTCCTACAATTTTCAACATCAAGCATCCATTTACTGGGGTTATTGGAGACGATGTTGATCCTGACTTGGTGAAAGAATTCAATAAGTGGTTATATTTAGGTACCGACACGGTTTCAAAGAGGTTAGATTATACAATATTTTCATATTATAGAGTGCATATAATTTATGGATTTCAAACTGAAATTACATAATAATTGTACTTGCTATGTCTCTAAATAGGAGGAAGACGCCTTATACTTTAAAAGATAACCAGCTCAACCCATGGTTTGATCTTGGAGTAGAGAAAGTTGATTAAAAGGACTGATTTTATACTTTGGCACATCTCGGACAAGTACTCAACAACATGGTACACACATACCTATGCAGAATTTAATGATTAGCTGTAGTATTTTGTTATTTTAGAAATATGTAGATTTTTTGTTTGAAAATTGAAGTTAAATTGTATGAAGAATTGAGAAATAATCAAATCTATTTTTTTTTGCAGCACATTGATGTTATTTTATACTATTTGAGCAAGAGAGGAAAGTATGGTCCTGCAAACAAAACACGGTTTACAACCACTGACTGTATGTTCCAGACTAAAATTGAACAAATTTATGAGAAGTACAATAATGCTCATGTCGATAAGAAGCTTGATGTTGTCAAACCCCAGGACGTCGTAGCAGAATACATATTGGGGTACCGATTACTTGCAAACGTTGCATGGGACAAAGTTAATTTTGTGATTATGCCAATAAACATTGTGGAGAAATTTCATTGGTTGTTAGTTGTGTTTGACATCACTAATGGGGTCTATATGTTTATGATTCTATGGTCTCTTCACGAAATCACAAACTTGTTGAATCTGTTGTCGCCAAGTTTGCTATTATGATCCCCTTCTACTTGTCATGCATTGACTTCTATGGCAAGCGTCCAGACATCAGCTACAAGAACACAAAGGCATACATTGAAAAAGGTGTTACTGACTGTCACGACCCAAAATCTCACCTGTNGAAAAAACAACAACTTTCATATAAGTTTCATCTTCCCAAAAGAACTAATACAATCAACATACAATGTTGTTCTTTTGTTTTAGGTGAACCGGCCGACTACATCAATGTAGGTGATTCAGACAATGACTCCAGGCCTGGAAAAAGGGCAGTAACACTTGATGATTTTGAGCTTCCAGATTACTTCTCACAGATTGTTAAGTTCGGAGAGGTAAATTAAGATGAAACAACCCCTGTGCATCAGGGAAGAACAAGGGTTCCTGGAAAGCATGCCAGATCCCACTTTCTCCCTTATTTCAGTTCTGGGGGAATCACTTCTGTTGGACCTCCTACAATTTTCAACATCAAGCATCCATTTACTGGGGTTATTGGAGACGATGTTGATCCTGACTTGGTGGAAGAATTCAATAAGTGGTTATATTAAGGTACCGACACGGTTTCAAAGAGGTTAGATTATACAATATTTTCATATTATAGAGTCCTTATAATTTATGGATTTCAAAATGAAATTACATAATAATTGTACTTGCTATGTCTCTAAATAGGAGGAAGACGCCTTATACTTTAAAAGATAACCAGCTCAACCCATGGTTTGATCTTGGAGTAGAGAAAGTTGATTAAAAGGATTGATTTTATACTTTGGCACATCTCGGACAAGTACTCAACAACATATTACACACATACCTATGCAGAATTTAATGATTAGCTGTAGTATTCTGTTATTTTAGAAATATGTAGATTTTTTGTTTGAAAATTGAAGTTAAATTGTATGAAGAATTGAGAAATAATCAAATCTATTTTTTTTGCAGCACATTGATGTTAGTTTATACTATTTGAGCAAGAGAGGAAAGTATGGTCCTGCAAACAAAATACGGTTTACAACCACTGACTGTATGTTCCAGACTAAAATTGAACAAATTTATGAGAAGTACAATAATGCTCATGTCGATAAGAAGCTTGATGTTGTAAAACCCCAGGACGTCGTAGCAGAATACATATTGGGGTACCGATTACTTGCAAACATTGCATGGGACAAAGTTAATTTTGTGATTATGCCAATAAACATTGTGGAGAAATTTCATTGGTTGTTAGTTGTGTTTGACATCACTAATGGGGTCTATATGTTTATGATTCTATGGTCTCTTCACGAAATCACAAACTTGTTGAATCTGTTGTCGCCAAGTTTGCTATTATGATCCCCCTCTACTTGTCATGCATTGACTTCTATGGCAAGCGTCCAGACATCAACTATAAGAACACAAAGGCATACATTGAAAAAGGTGTTACTGACTGTCACGACCCAAAATCTCACCTGTCGTGATGGCGCCTATCTCAATACTAGGCAAGCCAAAAATTTCAATAATCCACCATATCTTTTAAATTTGAAAATAAATAATTAAATTTAAGCGGAAGAAATATCACAATTTCAAATATAACACTCCCAAAACTTGGTGTCACTGAGTACATGAGCATCTAATATGAGTATAATGATTGACTGATAAAAACCACTATCTGAAAATATAGAACAGTACAATAACTAAAGGAAAGAGAGACAAGGTCAGCGGACGCCAAGAAGCTACCTTGATAGTCTCCAACTGATAGTACTCTAAAATCCAACTATCTCCGTGTTCGAAAGCACCTGGATCTACACACGAGGTGCAGAGTGTAGTATGAGTACAACTAACTCAATAAGTNGGGCCTACTGCAGGCGGCAGCCCCGATCCGTATAATAACAAAGCCTATAAGGCCTGCTGCAGGCGGGCATCCCCAGTCCTGTAAAATAGTAAAGCCAATAAGGCCTGCTGCAGGCGGGCAACCCCGATTCATATAATAATGATGTATAAAGCTATTATGGCCTGCTATGTTGCGCAGCTCAATACCATAAATATCCCCACAATGGACAATTATTACTAAGTGTGAAATGTATATTTTTTTGGAACAATTAATTCAACGACAACACGATCCCATGGGTCTTAAAATATCGGCACGTAACCTAAACACGATATTTATCACAAGCCTCGGCTCAATTCCTCTAACACGTGCCACATGTTCAGATAATAACATGATTCTTAAATTTTACAACTTCACAGGATTTATTCAAGACACAATTTCTGTGATGCACGTCTACATCCGGTCAACTTTTCCAACTTAAGCTTTCAACATGAAAATTCATTCTTCCAAGCTAACTCTGAAATACCTTAAAACCAAAACCGACAATTCACACAAGTCATAATACCTCGTAGGAAGTTATTCAAGATTTTAAATAGTTGAAAGGAATGTAAATGCTCAAAACGACCGGTCGGGTCGTTACACTGACCTTCTTGACATTCAGTGGTTGGTCGGTGAGATACCCCAGCAAAAAGAAGGATCACTGTATGTGCTGCTTTCCTTCTATCTATTTAACTAATTGTATTATACATTAAATGCTAAAACTTTTCCCCTATTATTTTTTGCAGTAACTGTAGTGTATTCATGGCGGCATTTGCAGAATATGTCAGCATTGGAGAGCTATCGATTTCAAAGGAAGACATTTCTAGTATTGATCAACATCGTCGATGCTATGGAGCGCTCCTTTGAGATTATGCGAGAAAAAAATAAGAGCTTGGTGCAATTAGTGAAAGTGAGGTGAATGCAAGATTAGCAAGAAGAAAAGGGGCACCAGTTGTGAATAAGAGAACACAAGTCTGGAAAAAGAAGAAATAGTTTCTATTTTCAGTAGAAAAATTGCAGTTAAAATGTTTAGATGTAGTTGGATTGTAGTAAAGTTGTAGACAAATTATTTATTAAGAAGGAGTCAACTGCAATTTATTTGTAGCAGATCTGTGCTACAGTTATTTTACCTTTTGAGTTGTTATTTTGTCTAGAATTCTACTACATAGAATAGAAAACATATGTGGATTTTTCTTTGGTTGAAAGTTGTTAATACTTGATCTCGATATTGGTACTATATAATTTGTTTACAGCATAACTATAATTATTTCTACAATTACTATACAAAAATACATAATTTATTCAATTTAGCATTGTTGTTAGGAAAGGCTAAAACTAATAAATAAACTCAGTATTTGAACAAAACAACTACAAACTAATTGCATTAAGAGTTGAAATTTGTTTAGCAAACATTCATTATACGAGACAATATTTATTCAAATTAGCAACACATTTACACCACAACTATAATTCTCCAGAATAGAACAAATACAACTTCATATGTCTTAAAGGACAGATTATCATCAACAGTACTCAGTAAAAAAAAACTTTAAACTGTATCAATTTTATTTTTTGGGAGCATTCCTACAAGATCTTTTGTTATGTCCTTCTACTCCGCAGTTGCCACATGAAACCTTGTACTTTTTTGCATTTACTTCATCATATGGTTTGTATGTATTTTTATGATGTCTCCCTAGCTGCCTTTTCCCGGTAGGTGGATTTACAACTTCTTCAACTATATGTTGTGGCATATTCTATTTTCTTTCGTCAGGCAGCGGGCTTACTGGTATTTCATAAGTCTGTAGAAGGCTCTCCCTCGTGTAATAAGGAGAACAATAGTTTTCATAAGACTCGTTCCTGTACCTCAAAGCCGCCAAAGCATGTGCACAAGGAAGTTCATCAAGTTGGAATTGTCCACAACTACATCTCTTGTTTTGAAGGCAAACAATGAAGTGCCTCACACTATCTATCACAGTATGGATGTAATCTATTGAAGCCCTCACCTACAATTTTATTACAAACACACAACAAGTTGTCAACAATAGAGATACAAAACAAAATAACTACAATTATACAACAACTTTTCTACAATTAACAGTATATATTTAGTTTGATGGAATCAATGATCTGATATTATTGGCTATAGCTTACTCTCTTCTTCTGCGATAATGTCTTGTTATCTTCCAACTCTTTGTTGTATTTTTTCCCAAGGTATGTGAACGTACCCTTTGCATTCAATAACTTTTTATTAGTCCAACGTTCAATAAGAGTTCTCATGTACTCTAATAGTTCTACTACGGGCAGCTCTCTTGCATCTTTGGTTACCGATTCAATGACTCTGGAATGTTTAATGTCATCGTCCACGTTCTCTTCACTGTAGCATGTACCCGAGACCATCTGTTATAGCTAATATTGTATAGGTATGCTTTAACACGTATGTCGATCTCTTCAATCTTTGATATTCTTTCATTAAATTCATCAAGCGTGTATGATCGTGCCATGGAAAAGTACAGTTCGCTTAACTTTAGATGACTCTTCTTGAACTTTGACCTTACATTTGTCCAAATATGCCACATGCAAACATAATGTGGCATACCGGTATAAATAGTAGATGTTGCCTTCAAGATACTCTCATTATGGTCCGAAACAACACACATATTTGGTTTTTCACCATATGCATGTTTGAATTGCTCAAAAAACCACCTCTATGATGCGTCATTTTCTGAATCAATAACGGCGTATGCTAGTGGTAATATGCTACCTATCATACAGGTGTCAAAAATAAATTCAATTTCTATAATAAAACTTGAGAATATAAAAAATACAGTCTCAAAAATAACTTTATAACAATATTTTTACAATTAATCTACATTGCATGTTACATCCATTGTGCTAGCTGTTAGCATGATTCCCCTATATGCCGACTTCAAGAATGTGCCATCAACTACTACAACTAGCCTACAATGCTCCTAACCCTTGATGGACGTACTAAGTGCAACAAAGGCATATGAGAAACAATCATCTTCAGTCTTCTGCAATTTCACTACAGACCTCGGTTAAGTCTTCTCCAAAATATACAAATAACTCGCAAATGGCTGTAGGAATCAGCAGGATGACCTCTCAAAAATTTCAAAGACTTTTCCTTTGCTCTCCAAGCTTGAATGTATGTTAAGTTCACACCATGATCCGACAACATGTTAATTTGTATGTCTTTTGGTGTGTATATTGTCTTAGGATCCGTATATTTTGACATCACTATGCTGCCAACTACCGTGGCAGTTGGTTTGTGTTGTATGTATGTGTTGTCCATCAAAGAGCATGTGTGTAAGCTATTAAAATTTCGAACCTTGAACAATGTTGATTCATTTATGCTGGTGGACTTGAAGTGCCACGTACAATTGTCACCAACACATACGAGGCAGTAGCTACAGAATAAAAACAATTCAAAAAATGTTATGAAAATTGTAGCTACAAAATACGAGGTTGTTTATGCACAAAAACTTATCTTAAACTATTTATATACAATTTATATACAAAAAAACTACAACTTATACACAATATGAATTTGACAAATAAAATATTCCTACCTTCTTACACTAGACCTTTTCACCCTAAATTGAAACTTATTCACAACGGAATAATGCTTCATTGCACTGACAATTATTTGCTTGTCTTGGTAAACTTGGCCTACTTCAATTATATTTGGCGTGTGTTCTGTTATGATGATACTTTCATATTCCACAATTACCAGAGATGTTTGCATATTAATCAACTTCATTGTTCCTGATACTTCTCCAATTGTGTTATAATTGCTTGACAATGGTACCATGTTAGTATTACGATAATCAGAGAACATGCACTCAATTAAAAGTATAGCAATTCAGACCTTTCTATATTCATGTGTTCAGTATTTGATAGAATGCTTGTAGATACATAACAGTTGAACTACATTTTATATGTAGTAAAATTGTAGATAATTTGTAGAAAAATTGTAAAACACTTGAAATTGAAAAAACATCAGCACTGGAAAAACAGAGCAAACCTGCAATTATGCTCGCATTCGACATACTGCATTCCAAATCGAAATCACGCACTGTTATACACAACGGATACATTCCTAAGTTTTTGTTTTCCTTTTTCGTCTCCATATACACTCAAACTCTCATATCGCTCCGAATTCCCATTGGAGGACAACGTTCATTGACAATGTAATTGATTTTGATAATTTTTGCGGAGGTATCAATCATTAGATGGTCTGCAATTGCGGAATTCAATTTACTATAATTTGAATCGTCATTGACTACAATTTCATCAACATCAAAATCTTTGTATCTACCAACGCTATCCCACCGCCCATTGAGCTGAAGCATAATCGCTAATTTATTATACTCCCTACTCAAGTTTCAATTTAATTACATAGGCATATACAATTTATTAATTATATACATTTTAGGAATTAAATGAGAATCAATTAACTCCTAAAATCTCTCTAACGTACATGTCCCACTCCCCCCACGTTTCTCTCTCCATACCCCACGATTCTGTACTCTCTCCCTCCATTAACCCTCCCTTCCATTTTTCTTCAAAAATCTTTTATAATCTCTCTCAATCTTTCTTAATTTTCTCTTTAAATCCTACGAAAATAGTAGCAGCTTAAATTTTTCCTTCTCTTACAATAAAGAAGAAAGGAGTTCCGAAGAATAGCCCTAAAAAAGCTAATGTTGGTGATATTCCTATTTTTGATTTGGATTTTTATCACAGGATTCACCCAAAAAAGTAGTGAAATCGGCACATGAAAAATCAGAGACAAAGTCCAAGCTTTCCCCTCGTGAAGTTAGGGCAGAAGCTCGAACAAAATTCAAGCATGACAGGGATGCCGGTGAAGCTTCGACATCTGCTAAATCAGTAAAGCGGAAGGCCAAAGAAATTGCTCGTGATAATGATTTCGTCGAAGAAGTTATCCCGAAACCTGCAAAAAAAATTAAAGTTTCTCATACTGTCAAACCTTCAAAAAAGAAGAAGGTTCAAAAATCACCTAAAACTATACCCCAACAGTCATTGGAGAAGGTAAAATTTTAGTAATTACAACTTTTTTTTTTTTAAAGTTACAAAACTTGTTCTCAGTCTCATGACTATACATATTTTTTATATTTTGTATTTGTAGAAATTTTGTCTACATTGTGTATATTTATTGTTGGTTATCAACTTTTCTACATTTTTCTCAAAATTATAGATTTCTTGTATATTATTCGAAAATATTTTGTTAGGGAATGTACTACATGGTTTAGTTGGTTTTATTGGTTATTATTTGCTCTATTTTGTAGATGTTAGTTTTATTTTCTGTAAACAAATTGTATATATTATGTGTAGTTGTTACTTTCTAATTTCTTGCTCTAAATATAATTTGTAGCTTCAGTGTAGTCAGTTGTTATATATGTTTACTAATTTTGTAACTTACTTGTATGCAAGGTATTTATGTCTTTCTCAATGTAGCTAAATTGTAGTAGAATTATATTTATTTTATTTTTTTGTCTTCATACAAGTTTTATTAACTTACTGTTTCTTTTGGTGCAGAATCGAATATTTATAGCCTATTATTCGAAATCATGTTGTTAGGGGATGTACTAATTTATTTAGTTGATTTTATTGGTTATTAGTTGCTCTCTTTGTAGATGTTAGCTTCATTTTCTGTAAACAAATTGTATATGTTATGTCTTGATGTTACTTTCTAATTTCTTGCTCTAAACATAATTTGTAACTTCAATGTAGTCAGTTGTTATATATGTTTACTAATTTTATAACTTACTTGTATGCATGTATTTATGTCTTTCTGATTATAGCTAAATTATAGTATAATTATATTAATTTTTTTTTTGGGTCTTCAAACAAACTTTTTTTAACTTACTGTTTTATTTGGTGCAGAATCGAACATTTTTTGTACCACATGATATTGACTATGGCATCACTAGGTCCCAAACAATATCCGACCTTGGTGTTCCTGGCCAAATCAATGTGTTATTGTCTGAAAATGGGTTAAAGTTGTTTAACAAGACATGTTTTGGGCATTTTCTTTCCCTGCGCAAAATACAACAACAACAACAACAACAACAACAACAACAACAACAACAACGACCCAGTAAAATTCCATAAAGTGTGATCTAGGGAGGGTAGTGTGTACGCAGACCTTACCCTTACCCTGATGGGACAGAGATGTTGTTTTCGATAGACCCTCGGCTCAGGAAGACAGGAATGAAACAAGAAGAGACAATTCATCAGTAACGTCAGCATAAACCATAGAAATAGTAACAGAAATATAAAAACCAAAAAATAGATGACATGCAATAACAGTAACCAATAATTAAGGATCGGGGCTAAGAAAAACAGAAAGGATAGTGTGGACTCAATATTAACCACAAGCCGTCTAAGATCAACCCTATCCAACCCCGTCTCACCCCCGGTATGAAGTAAGAAAAGCGCGACTATCCCCTAGCCTACAACCCTAATACTTGACCTCCAGACCTTCCTATCAAGGGCCATGTCCTCGGAAATCCGCACTCATGCCATGTCTTGCCTGATCACCTCTCCCCAATACTTCTTAGGCCGCCCTCTACCTCTTCTTGTACCCACCACAGCCAATCGCTCACACCTCCTCACCGAAGCATCAAGGCTTCTCGTCCGCACGTGCCCGACCCATCTCACCGGAGCATCAAGGATTCTCCTCACCCTGCCCAAAATATGTATTCAAAATCAGGCAATTCACCTTCTCATTAATTATGAATTGAATGCATTCGGTTCTGATTTTTTTACAGCAGAGATAAAGGGTGAGAGGTTGAACTTTAGGTTAAGGGAGTTTGCCCTTATCACTGGCCTTAGATGTTTTATAGAAGTAACGGACTTTGGTTACACAATTAAGTATGTGACGAGCGCAAAACACACACTTAAATTGTGCTCGCTAGTCAAAGATAGTATAGTATAATATCGTGTCCACAGGGATTGGATTTAAACAGTATTATCGTAGTTTGTAGCTAGATTGCTATTCAGGAGGATCAACATTTGAGGTTTATATAATTAATAATCTAAAATCTACAGCTATTGACTAACAATCGCAACAAAGGTAAGAAATGGAGTTATCAATGGGAGAAAATATGGCTTGATAGGATATGTGCAAGATAATTGTTTGAGATCTAACTCTAGATAATTCACTTCTAATGTTCAAGTGCGTCTTTTGAATTCACTTAATTATCAGTACAAATGTTTAGTAGAAACTCCTCTCTCGATTTAAGTCTCAACCTCACAATATGAATCAATTTAAGCTCGGTGAAGATATGCAAGAATTCGTAATGGATTGGTCTTTAGGAGAACCTCTTTCAATTATCCTCCTATCTAGGTTTAATCAA